ACACTAATTAGACACATGCTGTAACCTACTGAAATGCAGCATTATCAGGTTGTTTGGTTGTGGGTTTTTGTTGTTTTTTTTTTTTTTGTCTACTCCTGGCCACATTACTCTGCTTCCCCAGACAGATGACATGTTTATTTGCCTGAGCTGTAGCTGGGAGCTTGTACAGTCTTACCATTGTTAAAGCACAGCCTAGCAGATAAGTGATTTTATCTTTTGCTCTCTGCTATTTTTGCTCTTTCAGGGCTGGCCTTGCAATAGAAAAGTAATTAGTAATTGGGCAGGAGCTCAAAAGAGGTTGTGTGATCGTCTGCAGAGCTCCTTGCTTTCCCAGACAAGCAAATAGTTCTAACTCCTTACTTTGTGTAGTTCTTGGGTTCAAAATTACTCTGAATTAGTTATAGGGCTCACGATCATAAAAGAGTATGGTTTTAAGGACAAGAAAATACATTAATTGGTTCAGGCACTAAGAACATATGAAATAAATTGAATTTCTTTTTGGGATTAAGGAGGAAAATCTAGGGAGGCTCCAAGACAAATTTGAGAATAATATGATAGCTGCAGTTAATTGCAGTGTTTCAAATGCATTTTTTTCTTAACCATTTCAAATTTGTTTTCCCAAAATTGGGATCTTTGACAGAGAGCTGTGATTTGGGTTCACACACGTCACTTTATATTCGATACTTCAAAACGAACTGGAATTTTGCATCCAGCTGCAGTTAAATGCAGTGCCAGGATATGTAGATTACTGTCAGCGTTTTATTTTTACAGGAGTTTTCTGCTCATTCTCTTCCTTTCTAGTTCTCCTCTGGCTTTTCCCCAGCTGAACAACCTGGCACAGAGGTACAGACCTCCCTCAGCACCCCACCTTGGCTCCTGGTGAGGGTGGTGCTGCCAGGGGGCACCCAGGGCATGGGGAGCACCCAGGGTGCTGCTGCTGCTGGTCTCGGGGGGCTTGGCCCTGCTTGGACCACAGTGCCTTTGATGCAGCATCTGGGTCCCGAGGCTTTGTGTGGGGCGGAGGGGCCAGACCCGAAGCACACAGTGACAGTGGTGGCTGAAAATCACAGTGGTGGCCACTGCTGCAAAGGCCCGTTTTGCCATTCCCCTGTTCCCAGCTGCTCCCACCTCAGCTCCTACCTGGGAGCAGTATCATCTAAGGGACATGTCACCACCATCATCAAGATGGGGCTTGTGCACTTGCTGGCATTACCAGGGAAAGATTTATGAGCTGTATGAAATAATAATAATAATAAAAATTTCTATTTTATTCTAAGCCACTTGAAGTCAAAGAGCTCCTTTCTGCATTAAAACAAGCAGAACAAAGGAAACACTGGGATTGTGTTCATTCTCAGAGGCACGCGGTGTAACAGCACTCCTATAACGTTACTGCCAGGTGAGGAGCCTGCCCCGGGAGCAGGCCCTGGCCGGTTGCAATTTTGTTTTATGCAGTAAATCATAAAAAGATTTCTTTCATCACTATTACTGACATTTGCTCAGCAGACATTAAAAACTGCAGTTAAAAATGAGAAAGCTGAAATCCAGCTGGAACTTACCTGGAGCCCTGGAGCTGCTGTTAATGGTTATGCAGTCACAGGGTTGTTTCTTATGAAGAGCCTAAGAGCAGCAACCGCACACCATTCCGCTCGAGCCAGAGGTGATGGGTAAGTTGCATGAAATAACAACATCTGATGAAACATGGTGCAAGCTGGAGCCCGTCAATGGTACCCATAAACTCAGCAGCACTCTTGGGCGCTGTGTGATGGCGCTGAGTTTGGTGGGATCACCTGCCATCGAGTCTGTATTGATGCCCAGCCCTGAAACGCTCTCTGAGGGGAGTGCAGGCAGAGCTGACAGCTGAGTGCTGCAGCAGAGCCCTGCCAGCCCTGCTCAGACCTGGCACTGAAGCCCAGGGACACACTGATTTACACTTGGCAGCCTCCAAAAACTCCATTGTGGCAAATGCAGCCTCCCCTGGCTTGGGACGGAGGGGCTGGGTCTGGCCATGTTCTCCCTTTCAACTGTTGTCCCCACTACTCTCTGCTTTTGGGGATAACCACGTACAGCACCTCTCCTCTTCCTGGTGCCTCTCGTGCAGATCCTGGTCACTTTTCACCCGCTGAGGGTATGGTTGGCCTCCGCATGGATGCTCAGGATTATCTTTGCATGCGACTATGGGTGTGAGCTGTGAGGCAGGAGAAAAACTGTGTTTCAGCTGCTCAAAGGAAAGCAGAAGCACTGGCTTACGGGAAAAGTCATCAATGTGCAAACACCAAGCACAGCCCTAAACCTCTGCTGAAGGGCAGGAGGAGGTGAGAGGACACTGCTCAGATCTTCCAGCATCACCCCCATAACATGGAGATGGGGGTGAAAGGCAGAACAGTCCCCGGTGGGTTCCCATGGTCCCCCCAGGACCACCGTTGTTAGGAAGTCCACCCTCAGAGGTTGGGGGGCCCTCAGGGCAGGGGACACCGATGGAGTTGGCAGAGCTGGAGTTTTCTGGGATTTGGACAAAAGCCCCAGGAAAAGCTATCTGCAGCCGCCCCATGGGAATTTTTGATAAAAGCAGCCAAAACAACAAGAAGACTGCAAATCCTGTATGCCGAGTGAGGGGTGGGTGTTCCTGAACAGACATTGCACACTCCGCTTTTTGCCAGCCAGCAGCAGCCTGCGTGAGCAAGCCACGGGCTCTCCGTAGGGTCTGCAGTTAGCAGGTAATACTGAGAGGCTTGTTGCCTGAGACCACAGTCAGTCCTTTGAAAATATACTTTATCGGAGGCCCAAAGCAAGGCAATGGCTTCCTGTTACAACCAAATGCATCTGGTTTGGGTTTTCGGATTTATCCCTTGATTCCTACCATAAGGGGCTGGTGTCTTGCCAACCCATTGTCTCTCAGTTGGAAACAGATGGTATGGGCTAAAAACGTGATTGTGTTCAAAACCAATTCAGAGTATTTAATGTCAACCTGCTAGCCAGATGCATTTGGAGAGCCACCTGAGCGCCCTGTGCCCAGGTGGTGACTGCACTGTGGACGGGCGCAGACAGACACACGCAGGCTCAGGACCCATCCCCACTCCTGGTCTGACCGCATCTCCCCAGGGCAGACAGACCCTGCGTTTGAAATCCATAAACCCATCCATTTCCATGCTAGAACTGTGATTTTCCAGACCTGATTTACCTCTGCCTGGAGTTTTTTCTCAAACTAAAATCAAGAATCAAAGGTGATCTGAGAACTTAACTGTGATGGAAAGCTTGCTTCTCCTTGGAAGAGAAATAGATTAATACTCACTTCCATGGCAGCCTGAGTCTCATTTCTGGTGACTAAGAAACCATAAAGAACAGCTACTTCAGGGAAGACACATTTATCCCGATACAACATTTTCTTCAAAACTGGTTGAAATTTAGCTTTAGATTTTTGCAGAAGCTACTGATATTTCAAAATTTGTTCTGATAAGAAAAACCCCAAAACCCATGACCTTTTTTTTTTTTTTTTTTTTTCCCTCCAGGCAACAGCATTTGTAGGAAAACCCTTGAATAATCCTGATTTTCTTTTGGTGAAAGATCCTGGGGCAAATTTTCTGGTTCTATAAATAGATATTGTCCTCTAAATCCTCTGTGCTTTGTTATGAAGAGTGTTGACTACAGTCTCCATCTCTCCAAGACTTGTGCTCGCAACAGCATGGACTCTTTCTCCAGGCTGTTTTTCAGCCTCCAAGACCTGATGCCAGAATCCTTTGCTCCAGGCAGAGTGGGCCAGGTTTTCCCTGCCACTGCTCGACTGGCTGCAGCAAGTTTTCACAGGGGAATCTGACCCAATGAGTTTAATCAAAGGGCACTTTTATGCTCTTTCAAAGTGTAGATGTAAGTCACATGAGGGACTATTGACTGGGATACGACAACCAGAAATTCGATGCAAAATCTAAATGCCATGCCTTGCTGAAGTGTTTAAAGCCAGACCAAGAAAAGAAAAATTAATATAAAAGGAAAGAAAGGCTTGCTCTTGAGGATTTAAGAGTAGGCTGCAGCCTCAGATAGATCAATTACTTTCAAACTGCCCATAGGGTATGAAAGATAAAAGGACAGGATTTCTGGAAAAAGTAAAACAAAACAAAGCAAAATTGGGCCACTGATGCCATCAACTGCACCCCACCCCTTCCGACTAGAAAAAGCATTGTCTGTGACACCAGCTTCATTTCTGCAGGTACAAAAAGAGATTCCTCTTTAAGAGCAGCTTTACTTCCTACCCTAAACAATTGTCTGTGTCACAATATTATGGGCTGGGCGTATGAAGGACCAAGCAGCAGGGAAGGGCAGTGTGGATACTGAGAGGCTGCAGGCAACTGGGCACTGATCCCTCCCAGCCAGGCCCTCGCTGCCAGCCGGTGCGGTTTGCATGTGGCATTTGCCATGGTCGGGGGAAAGCACATACTTTTATGGTTTAAATATTGTGCCCAACAGTCAATAAATTCTTGTATATTCTGAACAAAGCAGAAGATGCAGCTTCCTTGCTGGTTGCTTTCAACTGTAAACACTAGGATTTGATTTGTCTAAACTTTTGTCCTTTTTGGAGAAAAAAAAAGTCTTAAAGGATAAAATATTTGAAATTTTTTCAGTTTGTTTGTACTTAAATTCAAAAGGCTCTTTTGTTTGGTGTGCCTCAGTGAGCGCATCCCTGCCATGCTGAAGAGGGCAAACATGGGTGCCGGGCAGCATGGTCACCCAGGCTGGTGCTAGGGCAGTTTCCAAAATCCCCAGGAAATCCTTGGGGTGGCCTCTCCTCAGAGACTGGTTGGATTATTCCCTCTTCATTCATATTTAGTGGTGCCTTGGGGATCTACTGAGTTGCTGACATAACTGAGTTTTGTCAAGAGTGTCGGCATTTCCCCAGGCAGCCGCTCCCTGCACTGTGGCAGAGGGACAGCCATGAGCAAGTGACACTGAGAGAGCTCTTGGTGTCCTTTTACTTTAACCCAACATGTCCTTTTGAGACAAAGCCTCACCCCAGGGCTGTACACATGGCTGTGTGTGACCCGGGGGGCTGTGGCCAGTTGAGAGCACCCGGGGAGGGAGTGGAGAGCTTCTCTCAGGATCTGGATGCCAGCTGGGATGCCAGGCTCGCCGCTGCTTGGGTGCCCATGGATGCAAAAGCAGCTCTGTGGGTAGGGCAGCTCTGGTCGCAGCGATGTGGCAGGAGGCAGCCCCCAGTTGTGTGATTTTGGGAAGGCAGCAGGCAACCTGTGCAGCTTGGGGCTGGGGCAGGAACATCAATGGCTGAAAACCTGGTGGGGGAGCAGGTGGGGGATGGCAGTGCTTCCAAAAACTGAATCCAAGTGTAGGATTCCCCCTACCAGCTTTTCTCGCAGCTGTGTTTAATAATGCAGACAGGTGTCAGGCCCAACTGTGCTCTGCGGTCAGCATCCCCTGGCTCTGGCAGCAAGGGCTTTAACCCCTGGGGAGTGGGGTGTGTGACCAGCTCGAGGGGCTGTAAGCAAGGCCAGTGAGCTGGGGAGAGCCAAGGGTTGTGCTGCTGAGGGCACGCTGGAGCCTGCCCACACCCCACTGCGTGGTCAGCACATGCCCCATGGCAGCCTTGGCTGGAGCTCCTCTGACAGCACCAGGCACCTCTGCCATCAGGTGTTGGCAGAACCATAAAACCTGCTGGAGCACTTGATCTCCCTTGAAAAGTCCCTGTAAAGTGGGTAAATGTTGCTAAGTGTCACAAATTCACATACTGCAGCCTGCAAACAGTAAGGCTCTCTGTTTCAAAAAATGCTAACGTCACCTAGAGAAAACCAGGATCAACAGGAAATATTTTTAATGTGGCTCTGAAGAAGAATTATTGTGGGAGGCTGAGGCCACCCCAAGGATTTCCTGGGGATTTTGGAAGCTGCCCTAGCACCAGCCTGGGTGACCACTCGTGGTCAGTGCAGCTCTGCCACTTCCCTGGGGATGAGCTCACCCCATCTCGGAGCCAGAGGACACCGGGGCAGCAGTGGGTTTAGATGAGTTGTAATGGAAGCCCTCAGAGAGAGTCAGGGTCTCCTAAAGGCATCCACTGTCACAAGGGCTTTTCTCTCTGCTTGCTCCCAGTCTTTTCTTTTGGACAGTTACGGCCAAGTCCTGCATTTAAAAAGGCATCTTAGAGATCTAACATCTGGTGACGAAGATGGTGTTCTGGATGCTGATATATCAAGGTAACACCTCCACATCCTTTGGGCAGTGCTAATATTTGGACAGTGTTAAAATATAACCAGCCTTTCTTAGTTTAGATTAACGCCCTGGCTGCGCCCCAGTCCTCGCCCGCCTGTGAAACGCTGCCTGGATTTCCTCCCGCTCCTCAAGCAGCAAAGGGCTTAGGGCTTGACATTGGCACTCGGTATTTAAACAAAATGCACATTAATATCTGTGGAAGTAATGCCTGAGTAATAGCTGCAGGAACAGACACGATTAAGGGCAGCGGAGAAAAACAATTAAGATGATCAGCCAAAATATTAGGAAAGCAACTCTGCAAATACCGTTTTTTGTCTCTCTCAAAAATAAAGAAGGAGCCTGAGGTTGCTGGGGGCTGTGTTCTGAATATTCATGGGATATTACTGGTCCTCAGGCAGCGCTCATTTGCACTGAGGATCAGGAAGGCCACCAACTGTTAACCTTTGCAATTTAGTCTTTCATTTCCCACATTAGTACCCGATGGAAAAAGCTGAAAGTGACAGTCATGGAGTATTAGTCCTGGTATTGGCTGCATGAAATCAGGCTGACCTCCCTTGTTTGCTTGCAGAGAGAAAGTCTGGCCCTGAGTCTGGGGGGAGAAGACGAGGGTTTTCTCACAGCCTGAGAGCACCAGCCCCTGGGGTAGGAGGAAGCATGGACCTGGACAGACAGACAGACAGCATTCCCATGGGACAAAGGGTGTGACCGTTCCTCCAGGGAGAGATGGAGCCCAACATGAGGGATGTGCTTGTGACCAGCCTTGAGGGCATCAGGTCCTGCTTGGGTCATGTTTGTTTTGACTCAGCTAGTCAAGATTAAACTCAGTCATTTAAAAATTAGATGCAAAGGGCTAATGACTGAGCCTGCAGGCACTGGGGGAACGTGCATGCTTTCACCTTCACACTGTGTCACAGGAAGCAAATAAACCTTGGCACAAAACTGGGAACCATTTTGGTGTGGGTAGACTACTTGAGAAGGGTTATTTTTTTGGCCAGGCTCTTGTCTTCCAGCACTTCCAGGCTCTCCTGTCTGACTCTCTCCCCCTCGACTGGGCAAGCCTCCCTTTACCCATCACTTGTGGGTTCTTCTCTGGGTCCAGTGACCAACATGGTTTGCTACGTGATGGATGTCAGCACTATATAGGCTGGTGCTGCTGAAAGCAAGCGATTCCTCCCCAGAGCAAACCATCAAACTGCAATGTGGCTGTTGCTTCAAAGACGGAAAACCAGATCACCAAACAGTGCAGATCTTCTGGAATTACTCATGCTCTGTAATGGGGAATACAGGAAGGTATTCATTTTCTGAGGGATCTAAAATATAAGCTTGTATGTAGAGACAGAATAGTTTCCTGTAGCTCAGTATGGACCTAATCACCTAATCTAGCATGAAGCGGGGATGGCTGAAGGTTCTTGCCGGTGTGCAAACCCAAAGAGCAGCTCTACGCCCCCCCTCACTGGTACTGCTGGTCTCCCTGGTATCAGCCGGGATGGAGCTGGGCAGTGCCTCATCCCGCCAGGCCCAACCCACGGTGCAGAGCGGGTTGCCAGTGAGGCAGCGAGCAGCCAGGCTGCAGCGGGGCACGGGGCATGCTGCGTCCCGTTTCAGGTTCCGTCCCCCCCTCGCTGGGCTGCCTCCGCCCTTGGCACTCGCCTGGGAGGTGCGGTTTGGCACTGCAGGGAGTGGAAACACCCATGGAAAAAGCAACCCAAGAACAGCGCGGCTCTGTCTGTCCTGCGGCCCAGCTTGTACAACAGCCATCTGTTCGCTGGCCACCGCGTTTGGAAGAAGCAATGGTGAATTAAAGGCTGAGAAACAAAACGTTTCATTTTGGTCTGTGGCATGTGCATGTGGGCAAGGGCAGCAGGAAGCATGGAGGGCTCTGGTTGGCTTTTCTCCCCCCCAAAAAGAAGATGTAACTCCAGTGTCGTGCCCATGTAAGGCCACACAGATGACTGACAGGATCTATAAACCAAACAGGCTCTGGGGAAGATCCTGACCACGGTCCAGCTCCAACGAGACCAACACAACCAAAAATCACAGCCCCTGCGCTACCGACTACTGGGATGCTGCCCACTGCTGGGCAGGCTGGGATGGGGAGGAGGAGCCTCCCTGTGCTGCCGGGGGTCACACAGCTGGGGCGCGGGCCCACACACGGCCCTTCCCAGGCACTAATATGCTGGAGACCAGCCCAGATGCGATGGCTGAGCCTCCATCATGGGAAACCACCTTGTCCCCTGCATGGGGGAGTGAGGGCTCTGTGCCCATGGGATGCAGGGGAGGTGATGTCCCTCAGAACGAGAGTGGGGCGCAGGGCCCAAACCCAGACACAAACCCGGGCACGACTGAACAACCAACCCTTTTGTCATCACTGGGTTTGCAAGCCCAGTTGGGAGGAATGAAACGCTCATCAGAGCAAGTATGAGGTTTCCATCCTAACTTGCCAGTTCTTGTCTCTTCTTTAGCTTCTCATCACATGGTTTAAAACATCTTTTGTTAGCACAGGAACCGTGGTGTATCTGGAGAGGGATGAACACAACCGACTGAGCAGTTCTGTAATGCAGCAACTAGGGAGTAACTACACAAGTTGGGGAGAGGCTCAGGAATGTGCGGGGACTGCCCTACAGACAAGGAAACCAGTGTACTTACGCTGTTCATAAGCTGGCTGATGGTGTCTGCAGAGGGATCCCCTTGAATCACCACTCCTATGCACTGTCTGTTCTCCTGTGTCCGGGGGGCCAGCATCCCTCCGCTCCCCTGGTGCAGTGACACCACCAAAGCAGCTTGTCATGACTCCACTCTCTTTCAGCCACAGGAAGGTCCATCCCAAACCCCAGGGAATTTATGATAAACCCCTCAACATTAAGCACAGACAATTTATCAAGAGTAGTTAATTAAAGGTGACTTGTTATTAATCTGGAGATTCCCAGAGTATGTGATTGTTTAGTCCCTGTAAAATCACCAGAAAAGAAAAATTGCTGCAACAAGTTTTCCTTGGATTTGAAAAATGATCTTTCTTCAGTAAATTCAGAGCTGCAAAACCAGAAGGCTAGTGCCTTCCAGTTGAACAGCTTTAGAGTCCCTTTACACTAAAAGGGTTGCTTTTCAAGCCTTGTCAATCTAAGGAAATTTATTGAGTCAGTCTCAAGGGAAGGCCTTGGCAAAGTATTAATAGGCTTCTTTTATAAAAGAGACCTTTATTTACTGGTCTTTAAGTTGGCCTGTGTCTCATTTGGCTTTTTGAGTTTGTGTGGAGAGAAAACGTCTGTCTGACAGTTTCCATGCTTCAGCGCTGTTGTGGGGCTCTGGAGGAATTTGCTAAGCCCGTAATGAAACATCTGGTTCAACACTAACACAGCTGCATGCAGCGCCTTTCACCCCGGGGGTGAGGTGCTGCAGCCCTTGCATTATGGGCATCCCAGCTGATGCTGTGGCTCGGGGCAGCCTGCTGCAGGGGCACGCTGGAAGTGGGCAGCACGGGCAGCACGCTGGGTGATCCGCTGGTGCAAAGGCAGATGAGCCATACAGGAAAAAACAACCAACCCCGCTGTACTGTGTGTGCTTTCATAGCCCAGATCTGTTGTGGCTTGCCTGCTAAAGTTGCACTGGGACAGAAACTGCTCCATGGAAATGGCCCTTTCCTGCTCTGGATGGTGGATGGAGCCAAAGCGTGGGCAGCTGGAGCTCCAGAGGACTGAGCATGCCTGTGGCATTTGCGACTGCAGACTTGGACTCCCACTGCCAAGGTTTTGTCCTGTTTCACCCCGTGGCTGCCTTCCCACAGTTCTCACTGACACATG